AGCCTTGCCACCCAGCCAGCTTCAAGCATTGTGTGGACATTCCGTGTCCCCATGTTTAATTTTGCTTTTATCGAGAGGAGAGGAGAGAAGAGAAGAGACATTTTCCGACTGGCTTCCCGAATGCTTTCACCAACCGACGTCATTTCGTCTCTCCGATTCCAGTGAGGAATAAGTTTGTTTTTATTTTTTATATTTTCTTTTTGGTTTGAAGTTTCTTTAACGATTGGATTGATTTCCTTGTTTAGGGTTGCTAGCCCCATGCCGAGCCTTCCCTGTTTATCCTGGCTTCGGACTGGTTAGTTATCTAGTGAAATGGTTAAGCAGGCTTAGTTTTCACGTTTCGTGCTTAGACATATTGGTTTTCAGAGGATTTTTAGTTAACTGATATACACCATTTTTATGGTTCTATATGACTGTAAATTAATCCCAGTGTCAACACTATCACTTACTGGTTTACAACCATATTCAGTTGATGAGTCGAGAATGTGATAAACTGCACACATTGGACTACGCTGCTCGAGTCAAACATTTAATTGGTTTATGACGAATCTTAAAGTAAATATCGAGGCATTCACTCATTTGCCCATATGCCAATAGTTGCTGACCACTTTGTTTAAGCATCAAAACATTTATGTAATCTGTAATCTCTGAATTAAAGAAATTATGTAAAATTGGTTTGATTTGGAAAGCGATTACTTGTCAGTTAGTTTTGTCTTACCTGTGTTAATCGTATCCAATCAACTTGAAAATGATAACCATTTACACGAACCAAAAAAATCAACTGGCTACTTTATGCAAACCTGTATATACCAGTTCATTCGTAAATCCAATAGTTGATAATACTATAAGTATTAACCACTAGTATATCTGCTCGTACAGAAGACTGTCCTTAATTTCCCATGATAAATAACAAAACAATTTGTTTCCTACAACTTCAGCTGATGTTGATTTGTAGACTTTTTTTGTAACCTGATGAGTAATGAACTTTAATCAGTATGTTGTACATATTTTTACAATTGGAAACGTTCATTCATAAAACTAAAACTCATGATGCAACATCTTATCTTCTTTTTCTCTACAGACGGTTCTTGCAAACAAATGTCACATTTTCAAATAGCGTTCTGGATACCGCTTATAAGTATTGGGTTACTGCTTATTCGTATAACAGCAAACCCATTGGCAATCTCTGAAGCACTCAGTACACAGTGTGCAATTGGTTGTGGTGTTGTTGCAGACAACTGTGAAAAGGAATCTGTACGATCACAATTAAATTTAGAATATTGTATGAATAAAATGCTCGAATGTGTACGACACTGTACCGGACCATCACCTGTTGAGAATTATTATTACTAAGAAACCTACTAGTCAGTTTATCAGTAATATGTAGTGCAGCAAAGAATTCCAGAAATGTGTGAAATTGAGATAGATCAATATAGTATTCGCAGCATTTTTCAACTTTTTAACAATACAAATAAATAAAGAGCATATATAAAATGTCAGATCTCTTCAACTTTTTTATATGAAAATTATGATTTCCGGGTCCAAGTAATTGTTTGGTTTTGTAAGCTGACATAAGACAACTTCCTCGAACTTGCAGCATTACAAATATCTTAGAGTAAATATTGTTCTGTAACTGTGGTTCATAATTCGCTTTAATATTTTGCTAACTAATAAAATCTATTTAGATGGTTTAAAGCTTCTGGCTGAATGTAATTAAATTGTAACCAAGGTCTTTGAGAGGCCACTTCATTTACATTTCCTAGTTCATTGATGATTTAGAAACTTTGAAAACAGCTTCAGTGTTGAATTGCAATTCTCGGAGAACACTACATAGTCGTGATAAATTCTTTAACAGCCGGATCCGAATTCTAATATGCTTCTTCTAGGTAGGCTTAGAAAAAGTTAGTTTTGGCTTTTCTCATACAGTAAACCAACAGAAGACATAGAAAACAATAAGTATCCCACTCTCCTAGCTAAATAAGAAGAATTTTGTTGATTGAACCAGCTATAAATAATAATATGCAGATCATGGCTTCCAACCAGAACTTTAGTCACTGAAATGCAATGGAATTTGGGGTATTTTGAGTACTGAATAATATGAAAGCAGTTTTCTTATCATGCAATCACATCGTCTGGAATAACATTAAAAACCTTTTGAAGTCAAACAGCTTTTTCATCATAGGTTAGAATTTCTTGGCAGTGTACCGTGTACTTTTAGGAAGGGCCAAGACTAAACGTTATAGTTCTTATTGGCGAGAGTCTACTATCTGAACTATCCTGAAATGTATCAGTTCGAATAAACCGACTGAGTGAATCGCTTTCAGGTGGGGTTCTAAATGTTTAATTGGAGGTTGTGACCTTTGGGATCAAATACTTCGGGAGTGAAGATATATGTGCGCGATATCCAGGATAAATTTAATTGATAGACTCTTTTAAACATGCTCGAATGATGATTCTGACTGAAACTCAAGTTCTTAATGAAATTTGAGGTCGGTGTATGCTAATTAAAGACCCAACAGTACACCGGTGACGTATCTTCCTAAAGCTTCGTCATCGTCCAAAAGAAATTTTCCACAGTCATTTGCAGCTGTTCCACTCAAACATGCTATGCCAAATTAAACAGCTCAGTTTCAAGCCTTCAACTGCAAGTTTAAAAAAGAAGGGAGCTAGACATATGTCTGAGCAAGTGGCTTTATAACTTGAACAGAAAACCTTCAATCTGTGGTGTTAGCGAAATTTTGAATGCAACCAAATTACCAGTAGTATTTTTTACAAAACATCTAGAATTGCTGATTATTTTGTTGCCTGTCGTCATAAAACAATAAATGGAATATCTTACTGTGTAACAATGGCCTCAATTAGCAATATTACATGATAAAACGTTTATCGTCAGCTGCCTTTTTTCTACAATAGCCTATGATGTTTGCCAATTACACGATTAGATGTGGATAGGTGAGAGTTAAAACAATTAAGTCAGCAATGAGACTTACACTGAGTTTTATAGTACAGTAGACAAAGATAGCACGGTTACTTTACTTCCCAATACAAAGAAAGTGGACTTAAGAAGAGGTACATTTTAAAGTCTGGAAATGTATATATCGCTCCTGATAATTCACTTACACAAAAAAGTAAACATTTATTTCATCCACCCTGTTCTTACTGTCCTGAATCAAATTCCCAATTGCAAAGCAGCTCAATATTCAGTATAAGAGTAAAAATTGGGCACTTTAGTGAAGCATACTCGTACTATCGTTTTTTTCATGATATGTATCACACAATGAAACGGTACAGCTTAATAATGATATTTCGAGTACAATTTGCTTTTCTTCATCATATCGGCTAGTAAATCGAAGTCGATTAGGTTAGTGAAGCATAACAATCAAATTAATTATAGAATTGTAGGCCCTGACAAGATAATAAATCTGAGGTAATTCTAAGCCACGCATTCTGTCACACATAAGCATTCAGCTGAATAGGATGGAATGACTCAGGTAGATGACGAGAGAGACGGATAATTACAGTTTTATTTGTCGAAGCAATACCAGGAACATGGATTAGGAATAGTACAACACCAATTCTGGAAATGTGGAACATTTTACAACCATTTTCATCAAAGACTGAAAAAGGTACAACTAAATGGCGTCAATGTCAGAAAGTTGTGTTATTGTCTCGATCTGATGACAAGGTCACATTCATCATGATCTGAAAGAAAGTTGAAAGCAATTAAAAATCAAATAGAACTGGATAACTTTCTCGTCTCAATGTGAGACTATGTAGCAGTGCATGTCGACGAACCCACCAGAGATGAAACAAAGGACCATCGTTTGTCACAGTGAGCACGACGCTATTCAGCCACTTAGTCGGAATCGATTGTTAACAATTTTTCATTGGTGCTAGGTTTTCAGTGATTATTCAATTAATGTACTTTAGTGACGATCACTTTCTTGGAATAAATCTCGCGAAACCTCAAAACTGGATTATCCTAATATGTTCTTCCATGGTACTCAGATTCGACCCTGATATTAAGGGCCTTTATTATTTTCTAGGGGCAAACAATGAATTACTCTGCTTGAAATATGTGCTGTTGCAGATTAACAATAAGTATGTCGTTTTATTTGTGTGCAAACTTTAGCTACCTGCTACTCTTCTTATTTTTGCTTCAGCTGTTTGTCGAAATATAATGGAGCTGAAATAACTTTGATTTTGTATGTTGAAGTCACGCCACGGGAATGCCTCTCTTTATTTATCCGAGGTCATTTGCTTCTTTATCTTGACATTAATTGTGGATACTACTATGCATCGGTGACACAGTTTACCCTCACTCATTTAAACACTTATAACTAAAGTAAGAGTTAGTGATAGATAGTACTGAGCAGTAGAATCTAGAGCGCGCGTTTTGTCTAGTTTGGGACTTGTCAGTTTGATGTAATTACCTTCTAGTGAACGATGTTTTTTCAACTAAGACTCGAACCCATGACCGATTACTTCAAGACTCAGAGAGTTATCCATTAGACAACCAAGTCACGATAACCACTTCTTGTGCAACGGGCATAGTCTTTTAAATTTTCATCAATAATATCAAAATTCGGAATGCAGGCAATATCGAAGCGTCCACCGAGGCGCTCATATGCTAACAGACATCGATCAATTCGGTCCATTCAACGACGGGATAATACAAGAAACATCATATTTTCAGTAAAGGTTGTTGAAGCTTTATTTTTCACTTTATGAAATGCGTGAAACTAATTTTCTCATGCTCACCTGGTATATTGATTAAAAGATATTTCTGTTATCATCTGATGAATATAAACTGGAAGTTACGTATAACAGCTTTTGGTATGATCTGTAAATATGGCCTGAAATTTCGCCTTAACACTTTTTACCATCGATTCTATCAGTTTATATGGATATACCAGGTCTTTTTACATAAAATTCAACAGTGGCATTTTAAACAGTGGGTAACACTAAGATGAGCAAGTTCACCTTACTAGTCTAAAGTACAATTGTAAACATCCTAGATTTAAATCTTAACCATTATATATAGAGTGCCTTCTATGTGCGTCATTTAGTTTAAAATACTGCCAGTGTTGTGATTACTATAACATCTCACCGCACAAGTTATTTATTTTCAAATTCACTAAAAATATGTTTTCATTTCATTGCATTATATAGGGTTTCCTGTGAAACCAATAAACAATAAAGTAAACAAATTAAGTTGGGTTTGTTCCTCCCATGAATTTTCATTCTGCCTGCCAACATACAGCCGCTACTATTTATTGTTTCACATCTCACTAACTATTTATCACGACGACATTAAATTGGTCTAATCAAATTTATTCGCCAGGGACATATATTAGCAATTTTCATCTGCGGTTTAGTTATCAACTAAAACATTCACAAATTACTTTATCTCGGAATACCCATCTAACTGACTTGAACAGGTTAGATTGTGTGTAAGATATTTGCATTTGGTTAACTGAAGAACGGGAAATAATTCGAGAGATCCTAGAAAAAGAGTAGCATGCATACTCTTTTTGCAGTTCAAACTCGCGAAAACGTTTAAAGTTTTACATTCACTTAAAAGATACGATAACGGTATTACTTTATATGATTAGAATAATCAATAATGATGCAATGAACAAATGTGTCATTACATTTCGTATGTATTGTCCATATTTTTTGGAAGCTAAGAGATGATGGACGGGAAAGATTGTATCGAAACTAAGTGAAATTACAGTTTAATTGTCCTTTTCTACAGATCGATTACTACAACTTTAGGTCTCATTACAAATTCAAGCTTCAGCTACTACTTTCACTTCTGACCTAAGTATGTTCAAGAGAAAATAGGTTCTTCATTGCTTGAACTTTTATGCAGAATTCACCTCGATAAATTAGTTCTCTATCTGCCACTATGTTTTTGTTTTACGAGTATTGAGCAGGTAATCCTGTTATGTAAACTTTACCAAATGTTAAGTTGTACCAAATCTGCATAAATTGACCTATTTCTCCAGGGTGAATACTTTTCGCTTAATATGTGAATTTTAGCAGATGATGACATTTATGAACTTTTTAAAAACTATTCAGTGAACTACCAGTGAACCCATTTCATTCAAGCACAGTTTTTCAACCGGACTAATATCAAAACATATGGTATAACTACCAAAATTCATATTCTCATTCCTTATTTCATTTACACAGGTCAACATTGCAAAGAGATGTTTTATTTTAGGTTGATTGCATGTGAATCTAAAACAAAGAAGTGAGTTAAATTCTTTGTCCAAATGCTTACCACACTGTTTTCCCTCTCTTATTTACAATCGTAACATTTGATTAACTTTTCGTGGTTCGCTAGG